TTTTAGATAATAGTCCTTTATCTGAGGAGCAGCTGGTAAAAAGTTTTTCCCACACTGTAGGTTGTCTCTTAGTTCTGTTGATGGTTTCTTTTGCAGTGCAGAAGCTTTTTAATAAGATGATATCCCAGTTGTTGATTCTTTCTCCTAGTTCCCGTGCTGCTGAGGATTTGTTCATAAAGTCTTTTCCTATGCCATTGTCTTCCAGAGTTCTGCCAAACTTATCTTCCAGCAAGTTTAGTGTTTTTGTTTTTATATTTAGATCTTTAATCCACTTTCATTTTAATTTAGTACATGGTGACAGATAAGGGTCTAGTTTTAATCTTTTGCAGGTTGAGATCCAGTTTTTCCAACACCATTTATTAAAGAGGGGACTATCAGCTCCTTTGTCAAAGATGACATAGCTGAGTGCATCTGGAGTTGTTTTTATGTCTTCCAGTCTGTTCCACTGATCCTCAGGTCTATTTCTTTGCCAGTACCATGCTGTTTTTATCACAGTGGCTTTGTAGTATAGTTTCAAATTGGGAATTGTTATACCCGCTGCCATGTGTCTGTTGCCTAGGATGGCTTTTGCTGTTCTAGGTTTCTTATGGTTCCAAATGAATTTTTTGGATTCTTTTTTCTAGTTCTGTGAAGTATAGTGTTGGGATTTCAATTGGTATTGCATTGAATCTGTATAGCAGTTGTGGTAGTATGGCATTTTCACTATGTTGATTCTTCCTACCCAGGAGCAGGGGAGATCTTTCCATTTTCTTAGATCCTCCTCGATCTCTTTTTTCAGAGTGCTGTAGTTTTCAGTGTAGAGGTCTTTTGCTCCTTTTGTTAGATTGATTCCCAGATACTTCATTTTTTTTTGGGTGCTATTGTGAAAGGAATTGTTTCCCTAATTTCTTTCTCAGTGAGTCTGTTATTTGTGTACAAGAAGGGTATTGATTTTTAGGTGTTGACCTTGTATCCAGCTACTCTGCTAAAAGTGTCAATTAAGTCTAGAAGTCTTTTGGTGGAGTTTTTTGGGTCTTCAATGTAGAGTATCATATCATCAGCAAATAATGACAGTTTAACTTCTTCCTTTCCTATCTTTATTGCTTTAATTTCTTTCTCTTGTCTAATTGCTATGGCTAATGTTTACAGAACTATATCAAAGAGGAGTGGTAATAGTGGGCATCCTTGTCTTGTTCAGTTTACTTTTAGTAGGTTGTATGTATCTAGGAATTTGTCCACTTTTAAATTTCCCAATTTTGTAAATATAATTGTTCATAATAGTTTCTTTTTTTCCCCCTAGTATCAGGGATCAAACTCAGGACCTTGCACTTGCCAGACAGGCGCAGCGCTGCTGAGCTATAGCCTGTTTCTTTTCTTAAATTAAAAAATATTTTCTTATGATACCTTTTTACTTCTGTGGTATCAGTTATAACATCTTTTTCATCTCTGATTTTATTTATTTAGCTCTTTTGTCTTTTTTCTTTTCTTTTATTTTGGTATTTGGAATCAAACTCAGGACTTACCTGCCGGGAAGACATGGCACCACTGAGCTACATTTCCAGCCCTGTCTTTTTCGCTTGATTAGTCTATCTAGAAGTTTGCCAACTTTCTTTATTTTCTCTTGGTATGGTACGGGGATTGAACTCAGGCCTTTACACTTGCAAGGCAAGTGGTGGAACCACTGAGCCAAATCCCTGGCCCTCTTCTTTATCTTTTTAGTAAACCAATTCTGTGCTTCACTGATCATTTGTATTGGATTTGGGGTGGTAGTTTTATTTTTGATTTTGTGTGTTTTTGCTCTGGTGTTTGTTATTTTTTTCCTTCTCCTTATTTTGAGTTCGGTTTGTTTTTTGCTAAATACTTGCAGTGCCTTGGCAGGTTATTTGAAAAAGCAATTTTTTTGTCAGTTTTAGAGATCAACTCAAGTATACTTTACCTCTGAGCTACATGCTGCTTACCCCTTTTTTATTTTATATTTTGAGACAGGGCCTCTCTAAGTTATTCAGATTGGTCTATAATCTATAATCCTCTTGCCCCAAGCTCCCAAGTAGCTGGAATTACAAGCATGCACCACCATACCCAGCTTTTTTCTACTTTGGGGTGTTATGCATTTATTGCAATAAACTCCCCTCTTAGTACTACTTTTTCTGTATCACAGATTTTTTTTTTTTTTTTTT